CTTAGTCACCTATCAACCCTTATCTCCTTTAAAAGAGCATCCGCCTGTCTTCGTTGTACAATCCGGAACAGTAAAACAAATAGCTTTCGAAATTACCTTTCCTCAGTTACATCTACATCTATCTTAGCTGTTTGGCGCCGGACCCATAAACTATCAGGCAGACAACCTCCCCCACTTCAGCCCCTCCATATTCGAGATACTTTCATCTCTAATCCTCTGAATGGTTAACTTACGTTTAATGTGGTATCTTAAATCTCACAATCTTTTCTCTCCTTCCCAGTTTGGTTTATCGAGACATATATCACTGCATTTGCACGCCATGAATCCCTATTAGCCATATTCTTTGACCTAGGAAAAGCATATAATTGTCCAACAATTGTCCTCCGTAGGCATACGCGGAAACATGGATGTCTTTATAGTCTTTCCTCTCCAAACGCACTTTCCAGGTCAAAATTGCTATCGTCATTTCCTCGGCGAAGCAATATCTTTCACATTAAAGAAAAAGCTCGCTGCCGTCTCCGAATCTTACAAACCCTATCCATATATCCTGGGGCTCAGACCGCAAAACTCTCCTTCATCTTCATGTTAACTTGATCCTCTCCACTCTCGATTATGGATGCTATATCTACTCCTCTGCCTCAACTTCTCTCCTCGCTCATCTCGATACAATCCACCACTGCGGTCTTTGCTTAGCCTTCTGCTCCTCTCCAGTTGAGAGCCTGTGCCCTAAATCAGCCATGTCATCTCTCTCTCGACATCTCTCTCTCAACTATCCTATGATCCCTGCTTCCTACTTTTGCTTCTTCTCCATGTTCATCTACTCCTTTCTCCATTCGCATGGATACCCTCCTCTCCCATTCCCCCTTTTCCCCATTCCCGACCTCTTCTTTTTTTCTGTCCATTCTGTCCCTTCATGGCTTATACCTTACCCCCGTCTTTGCACCTCTGTTTTCCTGGACCCACCGAAATCAGATACCTCCCCCCCCTCGCTGTCCTTCTCACCCATTTCCTTGACGATGTCTCCATTCACTCCTCTAGTATTCATACTTTATTTACACGGACAGCTCCAAATCCACCTCCGGTGCCGATTTCGTAACCTTCCCAACTCGCACTTTCAAATACCCCCTCCCTCCTGAATCTAGTGTCCTTACTACAGAACTGTACGCACTCCTCTTTGCCTCAAAACACATACTTACTCCCCTCTTCCTCTTTCACTATTTTTACTGACTCCCATAACTCATTAACTCTCATAAAGTCAATGCACTCGACCAACCCCCTTGTCTGTAAGATGCAGAACTGGTTTTCTACCTGTCCACACGCCATAAAACTGTCAGATTTTGCTGGGTGCCCAATCATGTTGGAATCCCCGGCAGTGAACAGGCAGATACTCTAGCACTCTATGCCCACATCACAGCAACCACGTTCCTGACGTATTTCAGTCACGGAAATGATTACTCCCACTTTAAGACCTTCCTGTATACCCGATGACAATCTTTCTGGCCAAGTCTCCGCACTAATAAATTACATACTGTAACACTATCAATCCCCTCCTGGGCAGCTCCATTTCATCAGAACAGACGTTGGGAGACGGTTCTCGCCCGCTTACGTATTGGCCACACCCGTCTAATACACCCCTATCTGATGTCACGTTCTGATCCGCCCCTATATTCCCTATGTAATGTCCCTCTTTTAGTTCCATGCATTCTGTTGTCCTGTCCACGCTTTGGTGCAGCCAGTACCTCTACTTTCCCCTACTTATCCCGACCTATCAGACATCCTTACGGAATCCCACACTTTCTGCTTTGACAACCTGTTCTCCTTCCTCAGACGCATACATATCCTTCACTTGATCTAATCCCTTTACCTAGCCTTACCCTAACCCATTCACTCATCAACTCCTTTATCCATCTTTAACCTTTTTAACAACAACCGCCCTTCACTACTATTTACTGTACCTTCCTACAGTGCTACATGACCTTAGATGTCTAGCACATTTATTCCAACCATTAGCTATTAACCATTATCCAGTACTCTGCTGTTCAAGCTTTCCTGAGTCAGATCTTGAGCCAAGTCAAACGCAATTACTCATGTCAAGAAGTAAGAAACTATGTATAAACAAATAGTTAAGTCTGACCGCTCTCGGTGTACATCTGGGTGACACTTTTCTGACTTATTCCATATTATGTTTCTCCAACATTCCTCGACTGGTTGCCCATTCTTCTTACACAGCTTCCCATTTTTTTCAAGAGGCTTTCTTTCTCCTGATCTTTGCACTTCAGCAGGAGAGACCTGAAGTCCACAGGGGATGTTCCTCCCACTACATTCGCTGTTATATTCCTTTCCATTCCCTTTTTTTTCCCTTACAGTTTACACTTTGTTCCTCTGCAAGACCATTAACATTTCTGCGTCTTGGGGGGGAGGGGGGTCTGTTACAGGCTCTCCCAGTTTCTGTTCCTCGATTTCTCTGTCTATTGATTGTGCCAGTTTTTCATTATATCCATTATCTGCATCGGTGTCTGCAGCATCCGGGTGATTGCCAATACTTCCTTCCCAGAAAAATCCGCATCACTACTCCGCGGCTCTTCCTTCACCTCCTGCACCTGTCGGTCGTACTTTGGTTGATCGCTCCCCTTTGACGACGGCGTCACACGCGGTGGGCTCTGCAGCCAGGCGTTCTGGATTGTAGTTGTGCCCTCCCTTTGCACCTCTGCCTGCGAGATGGCCGGGCTTTTTTCTTTTCCCGCGATTCCTTGCTGGGGAACCGCCGAAATTAGCTTTGATTGTGGCCTTGCCTGCATGCCAGAGACCCGGCATTGTGGAGGCTCGGCAGATCCTGGAGTCATGCTTTCTACCGCAGAACCTGCATCGAGCATCTTGCTGACAAGTCCAAGACACATGAGGGTGGCTCCACATAAGGTGCCACCCCCGCTCCAGGAGGGCAATGACTCCTCTCCTCGCCCCTGGACGTGTGCCTCTTCATTCTCAGAAATCTCTCATTGTCCAACAGAAAGTCTGGGTCCAGTATGGTCGGCTATCGGAAAATTATCACTTTAGGGAGTTTTTTTCCCGAGCCTTTGGGACAGTCATCACTGTCCCTTTGTATCCCTGTCTGCTCTGCCTTGCCTGCCCATACCGTGAGATACGGCCTCCCTCTGTCTCCCTTCATAAATGGCTCGAAATCACAGTGGTACCAGCCCAGTTCCATGGCCCACTTTAATTTCTCCAAGAAACTCATGGTGCAGTCCTAGCAATCGTTTCCTACCATTCACATCGACAACATGCTGATTTCCTTCTTTGGCTCCCTCTTCGTTTTTCTTCCTCTTATGGGATCCACTTGCAACATGTCCTTGCGGGGTAAAACTTTTATCCTCCATTTCTAAGTCAAAGAGGGGGGGCCCTGATATGGCAATACTAGCCATGCTGACTCTTGGGAGGAGGTGACAAATTGCTGGAGGGCCAGAGGCACCTCACCCGCTCCCTGCCTGGGGGGCGGGTAAACATAGGATTCTCTCACGAGTGAGGACAACACTAAAACACGTCCTACTTCTACGAGAGATACACCATAATTGAAAGGGAGAGAGTGAGAGTAAGAGTGAGTGTTCCTATCTAGTTTTTTTTCAATTCAGGGGAAGAGCTATTCTCAGAGGGTCCTGTCTGCTATATTTAGATTATCATATAATTTTTGGCACATATTATTTGGGAACATGCCCCATGTTTAAATAGTGCTGTCTGGGAAACTGAACTTTCTAATATCAATAGTTCTGTTTGGAAAACTGAACTTTCTGACATCCTTACTTTCTTACTTTCAACTTATTACTGTGTCCGTTTCTTCTTGTGTTCAAAATTATAATAATCTTTATCTAACTTTACTCTTCCTGTAACGAAGTTGAACAGCATAATCCTGTTACCCCTTTTCCTTCTTTCAACCAAAGTAGTAAGCCCCATTCTCTGTAGTCTACCTTCATAGTTCTTATCTCTTAGAGTTGATGCCTATTTTGTGGCTGTCCTTTAAATTCTTTTCAGTTTGTCTATATCTTTTTCTAAGTGTTGACTCCATACCACTGCATGTACCTCCTCTAATGGTCTTATGATGGCTGTAATGATCTCTACTATATCTTCGACCACCTATATTAAGGTCCTCTCTTTGTTAACAATCAGCTCTAGCATTTTATGAACTTTTTCATTTATATGATCATTTGTGTTTGGTCTCCTAAATCATATTGGTGTAGGGGTCTTTTTACTTTCCTTGAACCCACTTACATTGTATTTATTGGTGTTGTATTCCATTTTCCATATGGAACTCTATGTCTCTCTGGAGGCACTGGCATGAGAAATTGTTTATTCTTCTTTTTATATTTTCACATCATCTGCAAACACATTTAGACAGCTACCTGGGCCTATGTTTGATGCTAAATCATTAATGAAAATAAACATAATCAGTCCCAAGAATGAACCTTGAGGTACTCCACTAGTTACTCATCTCAATGTAGAGTACTTCTCTCTAATTAATGTGCCCAATTGTCTTTCAAGTAGAAAATCTTCCCTAAAACCAAATTGCTTACTTGATATCATATTGTGTTTTATAAGTACATTAATTTATTGTTTCCCAGTTATCTTTCTAAAAGCATACACACTGATTTATGGAACTGATTTATATTTGTCACAACTTTTACATAAAGGGGTAATATTGAAGAGTTTTCAACTTTTGGTAGTTTTCCTTGTCTCATGGAATATTAACAGTAAAGGAGTACACAGTTGTCTGGTACATTTCCTAAGAACCTGGTTAGAAACTTCATTAGCTCCCTCTGCTTTAAGTCTTGTCTAACCCTTTTAGTAGGTCTTTTATTTCATTCTCTTTGTGTGGTGTTTTTGATATTCTGACTGACATTTGAATTTCTTTCTGTTTCAAAGTATGGGTCCTCAACAAACACAGAATCTGTGTGTGCATGTGTGTGAGTGATGCAAGCATACATTTTAAAGGAAGAATTCAATCCATCATATACATTCAAATCTTTTAATAAATTCTCTTAGCTTTACAGTATAATGTATGACAATATATTATGACAACTCTTTCAAATACTCTTTATAAGTCCATACTGTCAGCCTTTAACATTAATGGATCTAATTAGCTAAAGATCTTGGCATAGTTATATATCAAAAGGCATGAAAAAAAGCAGGTATAAGAGATTGAAATTATTGCTAAAAATAAAATATAAAAATCCTTCAAGAAAACTATAACATAACAAATGGCCTTAACATAATAACAGATATGTTCACATATCAAATACATATGCACAGTTCTAAACGGATCGTCAAATCCGGTACATATCCACATATGGAATTATGATATATCAATATAATTTTTGTAATAAGAAGGCTTTTGGGGAACAATTATATAAATGATTTAAACATATAAAATAGTTTGGTTCATGTCCCCCACAAATGTTGATAGCCAACAGTATTACCCAAATCCAGCAATCAACTATTAACCTTAAATCAATGACTAGTTTGAACGATGGCAACTAAACTGGAAAGAGCTTGTATATCGGTGTACTGCCAATAAAGTAACATCTGAGGGAAGAGGGGAAAGGAATGGTATGCATCATTGGAAACCTTTGATTCTCTCCTACTAGCCCGCCCACTACAGTCTGTACCGAGTATCTATTTATCCATGCATTTGTCCCATCCCCATCAAAATTATAAACATCAAAATCAAATGCATGCAATAATTACCAAAATGCTTCTGGTGTGCAGTATGGTATACAAAAAAATTATAAAAATCCTAGCAAATGTTACAATACACACCTCACTGTACAATAAATTTGTATAATAAAAGTTCCCTGTACACGACTGTATGTGTAGCATACAAAAAAAATAAAAAATAAATAAAGCTTTTGGCACACAAGTTACAAAGCACTGTGAAACATCCTTTATACTTTCCTTGTGAGAAATTGTCAGAAATACTGACACCAACCATGGGTCCCTCTTAGAAATTGAAAGAGGAACTCCCTTCACAGTCTTTATTACTGTAGATGGAAAAATCTAGAACCTCAAAAAAAAAAAGATTATTGCTCAATACTACTTTCTGCTTCAGAATATAAAGCAAACAACACATAATTAATTTTTAAGACAATGCATCAGAACAACTCTAGTAGCTGATACATAGAGCAGCATTCTTCTGTGGTGGTGTCTATAGGGTCATTTCATCTTCATATCAGCAGAAAACAATTATATGTAGTCATCTCCAAACCATTTGTAAAAAAAATCATGTAAAAGTATTTCACTTAAAAAAAAATGGTTACTATCATTTCCACTACCTGATTACCTGTGTTTATCATCTGCTATTTCATCAAAACTTCAAAATCTATTAAACTAATAATACTGAGTTAAAGTGAAAGACACATGGAATGTTTACATCTGTGGCAAATAAATATTTTTAAAAAATAAAATCTAAATCAGCATTGATTTAAATAGAACTCAAGTGAGCTTAGTAATGGCATGCTTTGCTTCCTTCCTGTTCAAAAAGAAATTTCCTCTTCTGTCACAGAAAGACAAGAATAACTATTTGTGCTGAACAGATTCACTATTCAACAGATATATTTGTGAATATATTTCAACAGAAAAGGATGAAATACAGAACAGGATGTCAGTTTGGTTTTCATCTAGGACCTGATGATGTAGAATTAGGGAAGCTAAAGCTAATTCTATATTAATACCTTTTGTTCCTTTAGCCTGCATTGATTTTGTTCTATACTGTTGCATGCTTACAAAATTCTTTCAAAACAGCCATACCAATGAATGTCAGTACCTTCATGAAGAGTAGGCTTGCTTTAATACTGATTAATGATAACTACAAAACAACAAAGTCAAATCATTCTGAGCTATTACCCTCAGTAATTTAGAAAACTTCAGTTATAATTTATATGAAAGGTCAGTATCTTTCGTCTGCATAATTTAACATTTTCATTTTTAAAAAAGTAGTTACTTTTCAGAAATTATAGCACTAAAATACACAATACAGATTATTACTATACATGACCTAAATTGGAAAACTATCAACCAGGATTCATAAAAATTATTGAAACCATTCATACTTCATCCTCAACTACAGCAAAGATAAGAATTGTTAGCAATAAGTAAAGTCATTTCTACTCCTCCTTTTCCTTCTAACAGTAATTTCTTTACACCAGTGGTTCCTAAAATTTCGAGTCAGTGATCCACAAAAGCCTCTGGGCCTCCATAGAATTTCAAAAAGCTCCAGCATAAATGAATAATTTACTGAATGAGGCTGCTAAAAAGGAACTCAAAGCTGGTAGCCAAAAAGTTAATATTACTATTTATTTAACTCATAATCTCCTTTTCATCCTGGAATGTTTAAATGATAGTGGCCTTATACAGTCTCTTTAGAAAGAAAGTGATCTCCCTTGCATACTTAGTTAAATGACTTTCAATTATCCCATATCTGCCAGGCCACGCCTATAGCCATCATAACAAACCAACTCATCATACCAGGTACGGCTATAGGCGTCACGACACGATAGAACAAGTCAAGTGGAAAGTTCTAATACATGTAGCGGACTCCTGGAGAGAGAGAGAGAGAGAGAGAGAGAGAGAGAGAGAGAGAGAGAGAGAGAGAGAGAGAGAGAGAGAGAGAGAGAGAGAGAGAGAGAGAGAGAGAGAGAGAGAAAGAGAGAGAGAGAGACTTTCTGACTTCTTTTGAAAATATCAGCTTGGAACCACTGCCTTCCACCATGTAAGACAGACAAACAGAAGAGAGAGATTGACTGACTTTGTGACTTCTTTCAAAAATACTACCTCAATTTACTTTTCACAGCATCTTCAATGTAAGCAGTTACAAGTATTACAAAAGATCAGCAGGGTTGGCATCCATGGGCCCTGTTACCTCCCATATTGTGGCTGCCAATCGGCGTGTGTGTTCCAGAACACATGGAGAAGTGGCCAGGCCAAGATGAATACAGAATAGTTCATACACACGCAGCCTGTTTGGGTCCATTCCAGGGAAGGCACGAGTGCAAAGGGAGCGGTAAAAGTCTTCACACAACACGCCAGGTAGTGGGAGTGTCTCACTGACACTCTCATCAAGTTCTCCTGGTTTCAGCGGGTTGCCACTACCGTCCTCAAACCAGAGGAAATAGGCATAACTGAAAGTTGTATCTTTCCACATGAGTGAAAGATGACCTTTTGCAAGGTGTGAACGGGCAAACTCCACCATTGACCAGACCCGTGCAACTGTCAAGGCTCTGGCACCGTTTTCTGACACTTCCAGTTCCTTGTTGATCTCTCCTGCTTCATCTGTAATCAGTGTTGGGGATGTCAGCTGATGACTGGAACGATCAACATACAAGAAATGTACTAATCCTGGAAACTCTTCTAAATACTTGTTGATGGTTAGAGCTGATCTGCAGCCTAATGTCATATTCCTCAGTGCTTTAACTTCCAAGAAATGACAGTAGTCTCCCATGCGTTCAGCTGCAAGAGCAACTGCTGACTCCACCAGCTGTGCTGCAGTGGCTGAGCTGACAGCCAAACATGCGGTGCGCCAGGCTGCCCGCGTAGTCTCTACCAGGGAGGTTAGAGAAGCATCTACTCGAGTTGGAACTTCAGCATCTGATGCAGTTCGAAGCCAGTCTTCCACTCCGCTCTTCTTCACGTTCTCCCATCGGTAGTGAACCTGTTCTCAAAAATAAATTATTGTCAGATACATCTTCCTCATAACCAAGTATTGTTCAATAAGGATATAAAACAAAGTAAGTCCTTATTAACCCAAAGCTGATGGGCATGGCACGTATGTACATACCATGCCCACTGTGAGTTTACTTTATTAATTGTTTTTACACATAGATGGCTACACTTGAACTAAGTCACCAATGAACCAATTATGAGTGCTGCCTGTCTCACCTGTTTACCCTTTTCTTTGACTTTTTAAAACATTTTACATTATCATATATTGCTGTTACTAGTGTCAAGTGCTGTAAATTGTGGTGGGGGCATATCAAACTTCTTCCCTGTTAATTCAAGGGTGAGGCAAGGATGTGTCCTTGCATCAACATTTTTCAATACCTACATGGAGCTACTATCCAAAGTCAGTACTTGGCAATATCAAGGTCTCTGACCTTGAATTTGCCAATGATACTGCTATCCTATCTGAGTCTCTAGAGTCACTGGTGGCAGCCCTTGATGCATTTAACAATGAGGCGAAGCCCTTAGGCCTAGAGGTCTCCTGGACCAAGACAAAGATTCAGGACTTTGGGGGCCTGTTAATGGAATCCGTTCAGTTGATCCATGCCTATGGTGAGGATGCTGAAGTCACAGGTAACTTTGCATATCTTGGCAGCATAGTCCATATCTCTGGGCTGTCAGACCAAGAAGTCAGTAGACAGATTGGTCTGGCAGCAGGAGCCATGAACTCGATCAACAAGAGCAATTAGAGATGTCAGTACCTATGCAGAAGGATCAAGGTACATATCTTCACGGCTTTGATACTGCCAGTTTTGCTCTATGGAAGTGAAACCTGGATGCCATCTAGTGCCTTGGAGTCTTGTCTTGGTTCCTTTTGTAACAAGTCTCTTCACCAGATCATGGTGTCCAACCAACAGCTACACCATGAGACTGGCATGGGACCTGTTACTTGCAGAATCCAGGATCACCAACTCAGGCTATATCGGCACCTAGCTCATTTCCCTGTGGATGACCCTGCCCATCAAGTTTCTTTCTGCGAGACAATCCTGGGTGGAGGAGGCCCATGGAACGACCTAAGAGGTCATGGCTTGGGCAGCTTAACGAGACCTGTCGCGAGGAGTTAGAGAAGCCTGAGGGCCTGCATGGACACTCGCCATGAGGGACCCTGGAAGCGAAAGGTGGATATGGCCATGCGAACCCATCTGTGTTAACCCCTTGATCATGATGATAAATGTCAATAGCAATTATAGTGTCTATAATAAAAATAACATCAACGATATTCCTAGCATTATTAAAAAAAAAAAAAAAGCTTTTCCTGTAAATTCAAGGAAAGGGGAAATCAGGTAAGGTCACAAGGTCTACTAATTAACTCCTTTGTAGCTAAGCACTTCCAGAGCCATCTTTGTGGAGCATGGTATTTTCCCAGTGACAGTGAGTTAACACAATGGCATTGGGATATAGCTGTGCTCATTTTAGAATTGTTTGTGAAATTTTTTTTTACTAATGCTATCAATATCGACCGTGTTATTTTTAGTATAGACAGCATAATTACTATAATGTTATTGACATCAGCAATATAACATACCATAAAATATTTTTAAAAATCAAGGAAAAGGATAAACAGGTGAGACACTGGTGGCTTAATACTTGTGGAGCCACCTATGTGTAAAAACTATAAATAAATTAAACTCACTTTGGGTATGGGCATGTACGTACATACCATCCCCAGCAGCTTTAGGTTAAAAAACATCAACTATATCAAACAAAATCAACGTTTCTTCTAATAAACCATTCCCAGGAAAATTCAAGAGCTGTTTACACCTACCACACCTTTACAGGGAAAATGGGCTACAAGATCTAGCAGTGAGAACATGTAAGCACAGGGGTTTAAGAGGAAAATTCTTCTTCACTTGTCATTTTCAATCTGTTTAATGGCAGTCCAAACAATTACTTTACATGAAAGGATAGAAATATTCTAATACACCAGTGTTAAAGTGAATGCAAACATATATTACCTGCTGCAGAGCTTTTTCTATTCGTTCTGCTGTCTTACTCCTGGGAAGTCTCTTGGCTAACTCTTGGGATTTTCTCACTGCTGTATCACAAGCATCCAGGATCAATTTGCCACGACTGTTCACATTGCCAGCAAGCATTTCCTCTAGCCCTGTTAGTAATGTGATGAGCTGCACTGACAGCTGTGTGCGGTTGATCTGTAGTTGATAATGTAAATTAATCTCAGCATAGATATACAATACATAAAGAGTTTAAAGCTTCCAAATGGTCTTTTAATCCCTATACAAGTCAACCTCAAGTACTCTGCTTACCTGTAATCTTGCTCCTAATTCAGTACTAATTTCTAAAATGTTTCACTTAAATGGACATGCTCAACTTTTTTGTGCAAATTTATTTGAATGCATTTATCTGAAATTCTGGTTCATATTTAACTAATGGGAAAGTGTCAAAAATGTTCTCTTTACAATGCCATGGATATTCACTGATTATATAGTACTTACATCAATCACACTATTGAAAGTTAAGGCCCTACCACACTAGCACTTTTCTGTCAATATTTGCATTTCCATGTGAATTCTATATGCAAATGTACTGCCCCTATCACACTACCAAGGCAGCAAACATAGTGTTCATGAAAACAAACATGGCAGCATCTGAGTGAGGTACCAGGGATCACACAAGCATTCTCATACATACCATGTTATATATTGTATATAGAAATAGAAATGTTCTAGAACATTAACATATGTTTGCAGAATTGACTTAATCTATCTAATTCATAAATAAAAAACTCAGGTTTAGTGTAATAAGGTTATTATGCATAACAATTATTATTATTATTACTATCATTATAATTATTATCATTATATAATAATAATAATTATAATTATTATAATAACAATAATTATAATTATTATAATAATAATAATTATAATTATTATAATAATAATAATTATAATTATTATAATAATAATAATATAAAAAATAACATTAAAAATATATATATATTATAATTATAATTATAATAATAATAATAATAATAATAATAATAATAATAATAATAGTAATAGTAATAACAATAATAATAATAATAATAATAATAATAATATTAATAATAATAACAACCACAATCATTATAATAATAATAATAATAATAATAATAAACTATAATCATTATTATAATAATAATAATAATAATAATAATAATAATAATAATAATAACAATAATGTTACAAAGCAAAATAAATGTGATATACATCAGAAATCATATAGCATTATAGAATAGTGCAGTAGTGAAAAGGATAGAAGGTGGTGGTGGTGGTGGTGGTGGGGGGGGGGGGGGTTCTTGATGACAGCAGTTTAGGGCAGTATGGTATTCAAAGGGGTAAAGAGGAAAGAAGGCAGAGAGGGCGAGTAAATGGGTTAAGGTAGGCATTATCAGAAGGGTGATTAGATCAAAGCACAGTTTCAAGAGAAACATCAGGAGGGGGAGGCTCCAGGGAGGGGTAATGTAACAAAGGAGGGAGCAGAAGGGGTAACAGGGAAGGGTTGGGAGGGAGTGGAAGGGGTGCAGGGGGGATATAAGTAGGAGGATGGATGCTGGCAGTCCCTTTAGTGTATAAGGAATGGTAGTAGAGGGATTGGAAGATGGATGAGAGACCATTCATGTAACGTACCTCCGACACAATCACCAGAGCAAGCCCATCAGACAGGGTCTCATAATGGACTAGATGAGGTGTGAGATGGCAAACTTCAGTATGAAGGAGTAATACACAGCATCTGATCTTTCCTTCTTGCTCATCTGTTGAATTGGATACTTTCAAAGAAAATTCTACTACTACTACAATGCTCTTCATCTAATCATACTGCATTATCATTTACTAAGAATCCAAGCTGCAGAGTCACTCAAAAACTACTGCCATCACTGGTGACCTACCTTCAGTCAGCCCTAAATATCTTCCCTGTGAAGGTGTGCTTGGGATGCTGTAAAATTCTCCCGAATCACTGCTATCCACTTCTATTCCATCATCATCCTTCCTGTGATCTACTGCTTCTGTGTTTATCTCATTATCCGTTTCACCCTCCTCTACTTGCCCAAGCTCCTTTACTTGGCTTGCTTCCACAAGAAGATTAAGAAAGAGAAGATCTGATGCACTTAGTTCCTGTGCATTTCGACTGAAAGAGAAGGGAGAAAGAAATTAATGTTTTGTTTTGGAAATCAATGATGGTTTATCTTTCTAAAGATCTCATACCAAGTTTTTGAGAAACTTTATGCTTCTATCATCTAATCCTGTGGCCAGTGTTCAGAAAGGCTCAAGCGGCAGTAGCATCTGCACATCCAAGACTCCCAGCATTAGTGTATTCAGACTAGTAATGCCATTTATCTTTTTTCCTTCTTTATACCTGCCCCCCTTTAAGCCTGTCTACTTTTTGATATAACAAGAGTTAAAACTGTTAAAGGCAAATCAAAGTTCAGCAATAAACATCTGTTCTTTTGTTGTGGTTGTTTTATTTCCTAAAGCATTTCTTTTCCTTTCACCTTTTTGCATTTCAACATCATGACATCTTTGTACACCTAATGTTGCTCATACTTCACTCTAATGCGATGCAATTTAGATGAATAAGATGTTTTTAAAAACAAAAAGAAAAAAAATGTTTTCCTTTCTAAATGAAATATTAGCAATGAAGGAGAAACTGGTGTTCACCAAAGGGCAAAGCTAGTGTAGCTAGAATTATATACTCAAGCAGCCAGTTTTGAGGAGACACTTTTTGAACTGTACAAAATAAAACCCAGAAATATTTTGGAGGTAGTGCATATACTTTCACTGCCTGAGTCAGTGACACCCAGAGATTTCTGACATCCTCATTGACAGGTTAAGAAACTTCACTTACCTTGAATACAGGGCCAGTAACTTGCTCCTAACAAAAAACATGGCATGGCATGGGGTCAGTTCTTTTGCTGCCTTCATCTTATCCACCACAGAGGCAAGAGCCTTGACTGCTGCGGCAGAAAGTTCGGAGTTGACCACCAGCCTCTCCACGGCCTCCACTAAGTAGCTCTGCTCACTGGAATATAAGCGCTGCCATGCCTCTAACAGGCTATCCAGCAGTGCACTTTTTGTCGCACTGCGTTTCAGTCTGCCAAAGAAAAAAAGGGTATAAAAATAAGATATGTGCAGCATTTTACAACAAAAGTCACACAGCTTTTTGAGTTAGACCTTTACAGGCAAGAGTGCCTTTGAAAGATAAACAGGAAGACCCAAGAAATATGGTGCATTCAAAGGAAGTAATAAAAAATTCCACCGTTTCTTATTTTAGTTTCCTTTCCTTCCTTTAAGGAAAAAATACATATACGGTTTGCTTATTAATATCTATCAAGTAGGTTATCAGGTGTACCCTCACCAAACAAATTTCTTTGATGATCTTCAGTTTGTGACTCTTTAATCCCTATAGTCCATTCTGCTTTGTTTAGGCATGTTGGTGACCTGCACCATGCAGCTGAGACTATCAAGGTTCATTTCTTAATGTGAATCAGACCCAGTAAAGGAAAGCTAGTACACCATAAGACAATGTGCATGAGAATGAATATCCAATCTCATTCACATCTTTTTCTATATCTCTCACAAGGACCACTATTGGTACCATTTTTTACAGCCTCAAGACCACAAAAAGCTATTCTCCAACATCCTTATACCACGTCCTACATATAAAGATCCTACTTCTTTCTATCTGGATGGCTTCTCCTTCTACCCAATCCATAATTTCATGATTTATTACATTGCAAATAATGATCACTATATGTTTTATTGCATCATTTACTTTATTTACAATTTTTGGGGTCATTTACAGGGGTAAAAGATGAAGCTCAAAATTTCCCTATTCTGTATGAGTCAAGGGTAAAATTCCTGAGGTGGATATATTGTATTCACCTATGCGCACTCATCTTGAATGAAAGTAAAATTCAAGGGGTTAACAGATTCTAGTATACCTATCAAAGTGTATGAAACCAAAATAGAGTGGTGGTAAGTAAAATGACAAAGGCATACAATGTTGATTTATGTAGGAGAATTATGAACATCTTCATGGAAAATATGGAGTAATCCCTGGGAGACCTTGTACTCTAACCACAAACATAGTCATAAGCATACTCATGTAACTGTAAGCATGATTTGTTGATGTCCAACAATATCTTAACAAGATGTGAAACTTTAATATAAATGCTTATGATACAAAACAAATTCTGTGTCATAACAAGTAAGTAGGTGTATGATAACACACTGTCCACCACTAACTATTCCAAATTTAAGTACTTACATGGTAACACATGGTCCAACCACTAACTGAACCATTCGTATAGTCATGCTTATAATGCGCTGAAGATGACATTCTTCTTGATGTCCAACACCAACAAATAAATAACCGGCATACTGAAAAGAACACATTTCTCATTAATGTTATGTTCACTGAATGTTCTACTCTCCATTTCACTCGCCTTTTTATTTTCATCTCAATACTGGTTTGTGGAAATGCACATACCTCTTGGAAAACCACTGTTGTTCCATCCTGACAAGTGACTGATGTGTAGGGGTTGTTGAACTGCGTGGCCATGATACGCTGGGAGGTCACCAAGGGAGAAAAAATCTGGACCACAATGTTGGGATCCAGATGGGACACCTGGAACGGTAACCTTGTTCAAAGAAGGCACTAATACCATGTTGTATATTTTAGAAAACATGGCAAGAAAATGAATCTGTTATATTTGTATCTAAGAAGAGTTATCACCTGTAGTTTGAATTATTCCAATCATAGTGTAAATGTAGATCTATGTATATACTTCCATACTTATCTTTCCCCAATGAGAACAGTAGCTGTAGTAAGTTATGGCCAGTTTCAATAACCTAAGACAGTAGTTTGTAAAGTGACTTGCAAAAATGGGGGTGTGAGTAGGGATAGAGGGTCAATTGAAGTTAGCTATACATGCACAAATGAGGAAACTACCAAAGGACTGTTAGAGCCCTCCTCAGGTTATTTCTTGGGAGGAGAAAGTGCATAAGTGCCAACAGGTAAACTACATACACAGGAAATTAGTACCAGTACACCTGTATGGACTTTTGCTTGTTGCAAACAGGCATACAGTAGTTGATATTAACATTGTGCACAGATATGAGTTAGTGTCCTAAGAACACTTTTATACCAATATCAGAAAAAAATTATCTATGATGTGACTTTTTTTTTTTTTAATATAAATTTTGTGAACTTATACACATGAAATATGCTTTCCATCCAAACTTAATGGTAATATACTGTAGCTTATAAAGGGACCTGTATGTATACCGTGTATGAAGTACTAAAGTTGAAAAATAAAGGAATGAATCATGATAATATTTTGGTTTGATTTTGATTTTGCATCATGGACAGCTGATCTGAAATTGGTCATTTCCACTGTAAGAAGCACTTTAATATGAAGAGCATGTATGAGGCAGATTTTCAATTCCAGAAAAATAAGACAGAAGTTGATTATCTTATGCTGAAGATGTTAGCACACAATGTGAAGCATTGGCAACATCTTTTTCCAAATTGGACAATATGTAGTATAAGGTAGTGGCAGAGCTGGGTAATAAACCTACATGAAATGATAGAACAGTACAAACCAAGACAAAGTTCTTCTATGGCAATATGTGTGCAAATGCTTCTCAAGGGTGCTTTATGTAAAAGAAAAGAGAAGATCCCCCAATTTTGGCCAAGTCGCTCATCTTGTTTACATTGCAAGGATGAATTCTAGACGCATATACTACCATAGCTAGGCGTATATGTTACTATGGGGGTCCAGGGGGCACAGCCCCCTGGCTGGGGAATATATACCACGGTGTTAAGTTAGGTTGGATGTTGGGTTAGGGTGTTTTGTTTAACACCCACGGGGGTCCTGTTTTACCCCATAATTTCCCTGATATACTTCATGCCC